TTCGAACTCGATTCGATTCGTTGACACTCCTATGCAGACGTTTAGGAAAGAAAAAAAATAATTTTGGACACATTAAGTATTATAATTTTATTGTTTAACATTTGTATTAATCTTTCCTATAGTGATAGTGTATATATGGCTAATATTGAATGAATAACAATTATGTAAAATTTAAATTTGAATTCCAATTTTTTTATGTATGTGTCATAGATCTAAATTATTTAATGGTAATATTACATACACTGTCAGTGTATATAAAATTTATTCTTAACATTTTATGAGTAAAGTTGATGTTTCGAAAAGAAAAAAGTTTACAAAGGTTAAGTGGAACTTTCTTTCCATTTCTTCCCATTTTTAGGAGCAAAGTTCTTTGCTATCATTCCATTACCTTCCACTTTCTTTTCTTTTCTTTCCACCTAAAAGTGCAAAAACAATTTGATCCCCCCCCCCCCTCTCTCTCTCTCTCTCTCTTTCACTCTCTTATTTTCCATTGTTTTCTCTCCAACTCTCAACTCTCAAATTAAACCTTAATATTTTTTGGGTAATACATTTAGTTTTGTCACACGCACATGGTCGACACCAAAATAAAAACTTGAGTTCTTACGCTTAAACTACTTGATAGGCAAAGCTAAATTTAGGGTCAACCCCCAAGGTCATAGCATTTATCTCAGGTTTGTTTCGTAAGATTTGGTAAAAATGAACTAAAAGAAAACTAGTCAAACACTTCAAATATTTGAATAGGAGATTATTTAGAAAATTTATTTGAGAAAAAAACATTGTAATAATTTTTTTTGAGATGATGATATATGTAAGATAAATGAATAATTGAAAAATATGTTTGTGATGAAAGCAAAATAACATCTTGAAAAATACAAACAAGTGATTCAATTTTTGCCAATAGGACAATAAGTGTTACATCTTCCATTTTCCAATAATACATTTTTTTTCTATAAATACAATAGCTATCTATTTTTTATAATGTGACACATCATAAAAATGCAAACCTATGTTGAAGTAGTATGTTATTACCTAATAAATAGGCATATTTTCCAGAAAATATATAAAATTGTACATTTTATTGTGAACTAGTTTTTTTTTTTACACAATACTATTAGAGTTTTTCTAATAAAGTGACGAGCTTTTCTTTTACAATAAAGTAGAAAAAAAGGACTGTACTTCTTTTTCATTAGTACAATTAGGGCTGTAAACGAACCGAGTCTAGTCGAGTTTTGGCCTAATCAAGCCGAGTTTTGATTTAATTTTAGTGAACTCGAACTCGAGTCCGAACTCAACGAGCCGACAATTTAAAGTTCGAGCTCGAGCTCGAAAAAAAAAAAAATAATTATTTTATTTTTTAAAAAATAAATAAAATAATATTTTTTTCTTAATAAGTAATAAAATATTAAGGATATATATGTAATTTTACTATTAAAATAAAAAAATAAGAAATATATATACTTAAAATAAAAAAATTAAATATATATATATACTTAAAATAATAAAAATTATATATATATATATATACTCGAACTCGCGAGCCTGACGAACTTAATATCTTGAACTCGAGTTCGAGCTCGATATTGATCGAGCTCGAGTCGAGCTTGACTCGAGTGGCTCGCGAGCGGTTCGGTTCGTTTGCAGCCTTAAGTACAATAGTTATGATAATTTGATATATTTTTCTACTAAATCTTTTACATGTTATTCCTAATAAGAGAGTAACACATTTTTTTCCTAACAAAATGATCCCTTTTTTTTAATAAGAAAGTTTTACTTTTTTTTTTCCTTTTTTCGAGTAAATGAAATGGGTCGAAACTAAAAATTGAGACTTTTCACTTAAACTCTAGCCACTCTCTCCTCCAAAAAACTGCTAATAAAGTGGCACTTAATCAAGTTTCAAGTCCTTAAAGTCAACATCCCTGAATGATAAGTTTGAATAAGACAATGACTATGTAGTTTATCATGTTCTTAAATTTAAAGACGTGCAACCTTTTTATTTTAAATTTTTTAATTGGGAGAGGAAGAACACTTGCACAATACAAGTAAAAGAAAGGATAGAAAGATATTTTTTAACAAAAAATGGGTACATTTTTTCAAAATTTTTTTTACTTCACACATATCAAATTATTACAAAATATTTTTCTATAAAAATCATAGAAAATTGCAATCTAAACAAGAACAAAATATCCATATATTTTGAGCACAGAAGTAGACTGGGATGGGGCATCAAAAGAGGGCAGTTTGTGAATAAAAAACCATCCGGTGACACCCGGCAAAAGATTCCACCAACGGAATCCAATCTTTGCTTCAACCCTTCACCAACCGAAGCAACCCAACACCTCAACCCTCAAATTCCTCGAAGCCTAAAGCCACCTGCTTTTCCCAGTTGGTATAACTTGCACCACCAATTTCCAATCACAAATTTCTACTGGAAGGATAAAAATAAAAAACCCCGAACTCCTTCAGAATCATCTTCAACAACCACCAAGTACAATTAAACCGGTCGACCCAATACCTGCCCGGAGGCTGACGTGACCCAGACCCGTCAGCTCAATCCGGACCCAGAGAAACCCGAGGACGAGACCACCCAGAAATGCGAAAATCATCAGCATCATCATCATCATCATCACAGCCCAATACTGCATAGGGCAGGGAGAGCTATGAGACTGGTGGTGCCTCTGCAAGGGGTAGTACAAGGCAGGGGTGGCCTAATACTAGGCTCCTTAATCCCATGTGCACTCTACTATTTCCTCCAGTTTTACCTCAAACGACGCCGTTCTCCACCCCCTCCCCCTCCTTCCAGCCCTCGCTCACCGTCCACGTCATCCGCCAACCTGGCCGACTTGCCTCGTTCGTCTTCCCGCTTAAGTTTATCCACGCGGGGGTCCATCGGCCGAGTACACGTGTCAGCTAGGGCCGGTTCCATTGCCAAGCCCAATACTTCGCCCTACTACATTGGACTGGACAGGGTTCGAGGGGATCCATATGACCCGGTGCAGAATCCGGGCGGTATTATTCAGCTGGGATTAGCTGAAAATCGGGTGAGAATATTACCTCGCATTCCCCATCTTCCATGTGTGTGTACGTATTTCAAATTTCTAGTGATAGGATGTTGTGAGATATGGTATTAACTGTCTCGTGTATGTCCTGTTGAAGTTGACATTGGATTTGATTGAGGAATGGCTGTCAAAGCATATGAATGAAGCGGTGTTGCTGGGAGGAGTTGATGGTGGTTTAAGTATTAGTGGAATTGCCCCATACCAGCCGTCTGATGGATTGATGGAGTTGAAAGTGGTAATTAATCCTCCAAATGCATGCTACTACAGTGGTTGTACTTTTGTAGAAGAAATTTAATGGTTTAGGCTTTTATTAGTATCATTTGCCAAAGGATAAAGCGTCTCGGTTTGGTTATTCAAAGCTTCTGAAGTAGCAGTTGAATGAAAACACAATCAATTTTATGTTTGAAGCTCAGTTCCTTTGACGGAATTGGGTTCTTGAGTTGTATGTTGTCTGGATGAAAAATTGCTTATGCCTGAATTGGAATCTTGTTTTATAGGTAATGGCAGGTTTCATGACTCAGGTCATGGGAGGAACTGTCTCTTTTAATCCATCACAACTGGTATTAACATGCGGTGCAACTCCTGCAGTTGAGATACTCTCCTTTTGTCTGGCTGACCAAGGGAATGCATTCCTTGTTCCAACACCCTACTACCCTGGGTAATGCGGCAACAACTTTTTTTTTTTTTTTTTTCTTCTTACGGTTTTAGAATTAAGTGTCAATGTTCATCATGCTATTAGTTGGCGTCTGACAAAAGGGCAGGCGAATTGGGGAATTCTGACTTCGAATCCTGAATAAAACACTCACTATCCTTGCCAAGGGATAGGATCTATCCACTTTGAGAAGGCTGTTTACCAGCTAGTAGTGAGACAAGTCAGCACCGAGTCATTAACTGTAAATTCGGTCTTCAAACATAGTTAAGCACATATATCCAGTAATGGATCAGATTGTAAGATAGTCATTTTGATGTTTCAGTTATTTTTTTCAAACATTTTCATTCCAGTTAAAAAGATCAACTTTGCATTTCTGAGGGCTTGTGTTTATCTCTATTGTCTTTTTCCTCTTTGGCATGATTTCTAATTAGATTCCCAGTTTGCAGTTTTGATAGGGATATAAAGTTCCGCACAGGTGTGGAGCTCATACCTGTTCACTGTCGTAGCTCAGAAAATTTTGTGCCGAGCATTGCTGCTCTTGATCAGGCATTTAATCAGGCCAAAAAACGAGGTCAAAAAGTTCGTGGGATACTCATTACAAATCCTACAAACCCGGTGGGAAACCTGCTGTCAAGGGAAATCCTATATAATCTCTTGGATTTTGCCAGAGAGAGGAATATTCACATTATATCAGATGAAATATATGCTGGGTCAGTGTATGGTGATGAGGAGTTTGTAAGCATGGCAGAGATTCTTGACTCAGAAGATTTTGACAAGGATCGGGTTCATATAGTATATGGGGTTTCAAAAGACCTTTCTCTTCCAGGCTTCAGAGTTGGCGTTATGTATTCGTTCAACGAATATGTTTTGGCTTCTTCAAAAAAGCTAGCTAGATTTTCCTCAATTTCTGCTCCAACCCAGAGGATTTTAGTTTCTTTACTATCAGATTCTGGGTTCGTGCAGGAATACCTCCAGACTAATAAACAGAGAATTCGCAGATTGCATGACTTGTTTGTGCTTGGTCTTGAACAATTAGGAATTGAAAGCACAAAAAGCAGCGCTGGTTTTTATTGTTGGGTAAATATGAGCAGATTAATCAGCCCATACAACGAGAAAGGGGAGCTTGAACTGTGGGAGAAGCTTTTAGATATAGCCAAGATCAATGTAACCCCTGGCTCGGCTTGCCATTGTATTGAACCTGGATGGTTTAGATGCTGTTTTACTACACTAGATGATACGGATGTCGGTGTTGTTGTAGATAGGATACGTAATATTGTTGAAACTTGTAAATCTCCAGCTTAAGAAACTTCTGAGAGTGGTATTAAATGAACGGATTGTTGGAATAACCACACAATAATGATCACACACAATTCAGGACTTGAGGTGGCCACTACCGGTGATCGACACAGTGATAGCACCTTTTTAACTTGAAAATCATACAGCTAAATTTGGAGTTTTAATATGCTTATCTAATAGAAGGATTTGAAGTTGCTGATTAATGCAACTGTTCAGAGGTCTATTGGACTCGTCTTTTACAACAGTTTTAGTTGTAGCTGCCTTGTCCATCTCCTGTGAAATCTGCCAACAATGTTGCTTGATCCAAGGATCCAGCATCCAACTGCATTCTTCTTCATGAAGTCCTGCCATCAATTTATGGTCATGCAGCTAGATTTTCTTATACACAACGATCATGGTTGCAGTTTTCACGTTGTTACCATTATGGCGGATGAAAGACATGCATGGAAGTTATGTAATCAATCTTTCCTTATTTGGGGAAGATGTGTTAGGTTTCGCGCAAGTTATTTGTGTTACTGCGCTAGGAAAACGATCTGAGGCTACCTATATGAAATGCATGTTTGTAGAATGGTGGAAAGTTACCTTCGAGAGATTCTGTGTCTGCATTTGAAAGGCTTTCCTCTGGTAACTTCTTCTTCTGCTCATCATTATTAGCTCTCCCAGTGTGTGTGGTTTTCTCAATGCAGCACTGTAGTTCCTTTCACAGTCAATATCCTCTTTTTGCCTCGTTGTTTGGGTAGGAGAAATTTCCTTTTCTGAGCTGCCAACCTTTTCCAGGATATTAGATTGAGGGGTTAATAAGGGGAAGAGCCATTCCAGAAAAGAAGCGCCTACTAGGTTTGTATTTCCAGTTTCATAGCTGCTGGTACTGCTTCCTGTTTCAGAGGCTGGTGAAGCAGGTCTCTGAAGCTGCCCACTGCTAAGACCTGCAAAGGAGGTTTGTTGAACAGGAACAGCATTTGAAATAGCAACCGTCGGTACAAGGCGGTTGGCCAAGAGAGAAGGCGCTGAACAGAAAGAATCATCTGCTTCAGATTCACATGATGCTGGATACGACTCGAGCATTTCGATCTGATCACCATCTTGGTCATTCATGCCAGTCCAACAATTTTCACTGTCCAGAAAATGTCTGGGAGATAGAGGGAAGCTGCTAATGTTTGGTAGTGGTAGCGCAAGTGGTGAACCTGATGGCTGCTGCGAGAAGCAGGGAAGCGGTTTTCCGGGCTTTTCTTCCCATTGAAAGGGTACTGAAGCAATGTACTTGACTGGTGGTGCGACAGGCTTCTTAACAGGAGCAGTAGGTTTCCAATCCCTCTTTGGTGTGCCTGGAATTTCTTCCCAAATAAATGGAACAGAAATTGCTTGCTTTGTTCTCTTCCTGGTGGTAGCATCGGAGGGTTCATTTTTTTCCATGGCAGTTTCTCGTCTATCTTCCATATCCATGGTTTTTTAAGCGAGTGTTAACCCGCGCAGCGTTATATATGTAATGTGTTCGTTCATATGCTGGAAGGTTAGTGGGTTAGAACGGTCTGCAACTAGCTCCACCTGCCAACCGCACCATTTTGTGGTACAAAAAATTAGGCTTACCTGTTGTCTGATTAAACAAAAATTGTGTGTAAAAAGCGGATTTTGCTTGTCGCGGCCCCGTCTTTGGCAGCTTCAAGAATCTATGGGAGGTAAACTGCCCACCGATTTGTCCAAGTCTTCGCGCTAAAGCATATGAAAATTGAAAATGGCCTTCTTCGTTAGATAATTTAGCACGTCGCAGTGTTTTTTTAACTAACCCCTTCACAATTTGACCGGAAAATGTGCAGCAACATATCCATTCCATATTCAAATTGGAAGTCAAGATGCTGATTGAATAATAATGTCTAGTCTTCCTACTAATTTTATTAGGGACATGACGTTTACAGCCTTCACAATAAGGTTGACAAAATGTTTACTACTACAATTTATAATGCAACTTTGTGTTTGGCTGTTAGTTTAAGGAAGGGGAGAGAAAAGAGGAGGAGGACGAGCATGAAGAATCCCTAACCGCTGTCATGCAATCTTTTATTGCTTTAGATTTTGTGGTGTGTTTCGTAAAGGGATGCTGTCCGAGTTCAAAGAAAGTTAAAAGGTCTCAAAATAATAAGCATGTTGCATAGACTTGCAACGCCCAACTCCAATGGGTGTAATGGCTCCGTTTGGACTGGCTTATTTTTTAAAAATAAGTTTTTCAATTATAATGCTATAGTAATATATAAATAAAAACAATTCAAAAAACATTTTATCCATATAATATATCAAATATTTCAAAAAAAAAATCTAGAGTAAAAGTTTTTCATATACACTGTTACATTAAAATATTTCAAAAATACCCTTAAAAACTGCTATAGTAAAATATTTAAAACACTCCCAAAAATAGTCTTTCTTTCTGCTCAGAAGAAGAAGCAACTCGAAATTTGTACATCATGTAATGAATTAGTATTTGCAATAAATTCATCTTTAAAAATATTAGATGCTATAAGAAAAGAAAACTATTGTGCGGGGCAGAGTTGAAAGGAAAAAAAAAAATTTTAGAAACACATTTAAATACTTTCTTAAAAATAATATCCATAACGAGACCATTTGTTAAAATATTATTGTTTATGGGTGATAGAGTAACTAATTTGTGACTGTGTCCAGCGCAAAATCTGAATCTTCAGAGACTTGTGTCATTTCGTGACAAACTTATGTAGTAGTTTCATTAACCACTGGGCCAATGGCTCAGTGGCCACCAGGGAGAGACTTAAGTCCCTTCTTAGGCTGTAGGTGAGGGTTCAAATCTCACCTGCAGCGAAAAAAATTTAAGGGTTCTGTCAGAACACTCCCTTGATCTAGTTGGGTCTGTATACCCACTAGTCCCCTATCACAGTCTCCTTAGGCTCCCCCTCCCCCCTAGTAGTTGGGTCCCTACCACAGTCTCCTTAGGCTCCCCCTCCCCTTAAATTAGGATAGAGTAGGTTATACAAATGTATCGTTGTTGACAAAAAAAAAATGTAGTAGTTTCATTGGCTTTGTTTGACCGATGACTGACCAATTAAGGGACCCTATTCCTGTTGGGGGAAATTTGGCTGACTTTCCGTCCAAAACTTTAGTTCGATAGGTTGCTCGTACTGGTTCAGACTTTGATTTTTGGACACTTTTGTGGGCCACAAAAATTTGAGTTTGGGGCAAAAATTTTCCTTGGGCCGTACGATTGTGATACCAGTGTGCCCCAAATTTAGGCTGGCACGTGAATTTTTTTCAGTGGAGCTGAGCTTGGGATTAGTAATGCTCAACAGGCAAGCCCATCTACTTTGCTACCCGGGGAGGTAGCTCAGAACCTCCAATTTACCCTTAGTACGAATCCAGTTGTGTTTCGGAGACGGAGTCGCAAACTCTTTTCTGCTCCGCTTGGTATAGTATTGCTTTCCCTGTCTGTGTGTATATATATATGTCCCATCAGATTCCATGCAAGTAGGTTACAAACTGGGAAGCGTAGAATTGCAGTCATACGAAGAAGACAGACGAGACGACGAGGGAAGGGGGATCATTGATCAGTTAATATGGATTCTAGAGACAACAAAGTGAAGATGGAGAGTGGTTCTTCTACGAACAGCTACAAGCAGCAGCAGCCTGATCCGCTTCCATGTGCTAAACCGTGCCGAAGTTATGGGAATCCGGCTACTGACAACCTCTGCTCCAGGTGCTACAAAGATTATTTGGAAAAATTAGAACAAGTTAAGTTGGAGGTTAAGATTAAGAAGATGAAAGCCTCCTCAAAAGTAGACATTCCTTCCACGAATCCATTCCCATGTTTTGCTGAAGCCAACAACAAAACTGCTACCCACGTTTCAACAAAGAATAACCGATGCCACGGCTGTAACAAAAGAGTTGGACTACTGGGGTTCGGTTGCAGGTGCCGAGGAATGTTTTGCAGCGCCCATCGGTACCCGGAAGAGCATGCATGCAACTTCGACTATAAGTCCCAAGCTCGCATTGCTTTAGCTAAGGAAAATCCTTTGTGCAAAGCTGACAAGTTGTTCAATAGACTCTGATCGAATCAATGACTCCAAGACCATTAATCCTTCCTTCCTTCTATAGGTGTTTTCATTTAAAAAATATATGAGTATCACACTAGGTCTGACAAGTTTGTTTGCAATGTTGTACAGAATCCCATTATTATTCGTTTTTGAATTTCTCATTTTCCTCTTTTTTTGGAAGATACAGAAAATTTGAACCATCATCATCACAGATGTAGGATTTGCTATCTCCAAGATTTTGCTTGAAATTCAAAAGCCATAAGACATGCTTATACTTCAATATTTAGTCATCTGTAGTCTATAGACCAACCATATTTCATATGGCCGGTTCATCAATAGCTAGTAGTATCTCGCAGGTATTAATGACACGTAGTTCCATTCAGTTGAACATCAAAATTGTTGATGCTGAGAGCTGCCCTAGTCTGCTGGGCCTTCTGGGCAATACCAATTCACACCTTCGTCCTTGTCCGAAACTAAAAGAGTTCAGACCCAATGTGTCCAATTAATAGCGCATCCATGATCCAGCAAATGGCCCGATTCTCCACCCCAGCCCAAAATCCAATTATTCCTGAGACTGGGAGGTCCTATTACATTATTGATTGATTGATTTATAGTTAGCATTGTTGAAACATGAAGAAGAGGTCTTGTTCCTTATTCACTTTTTAAAGGCGTAGAATTGACATAATATTATTCTTTGGAATGGATGTTCCTTTTGATAACCGAGCGCTTAAACTTTACAATGTGAAGTAAGCGAAGTGTTAAAAAGGTAATATTTACGGACAAAAATGCCAGCCAATATTCATCAAATTTCAAACCTAACGTAATGGTCCTAGGATTCTTTAGCTTTATGTCCGGTGAAGGCGAAAGGGTGTTATTCCATTCTTGCAAAAGCTTTGGTTTTTTTTTTAAATTTTCCTTTTTTTTCACCAGCATGATTAATCTAGTACCATATCAGTTCCTTACTTTCCGTCATTTCAAAGACGGGATGCGTCGGATTAGTTTCACGTGGACAATCAAATAAATACGAATCAAATAAAGCCACGACACGAATCAATTAGTACACAGGAGAGGAGTGCATTGAAGTGATTGAGTGCTGCAAAGGCAGAAATGGAAATGGAAATGGGAATGGGAATGGAAATGGAAAGAAGGGCCGGCAAAGTGGAAGAAAATTTGGGAAAGGAAAGAGAGTCTGTGGTCGAGAATGATGATGGCTCCATCGCACTTCGGCCTAATCACACTATGAATCTAGTCGCTTCCGCCACTAAAATGAGAGAGAGACTTGACCAGCTCATAAAGTGAAGCCATTATACTGCTATGAAAGAAAATTAAGACACAAAAAAAAAAAGGAATTTTTTTTTTTTTGAAAAAAGGAAAGTACCAGTAGCATCTCCTCTTTTCTTTCATTAAGACCTTGGAAATCGCTTTTCTTTTTTTTTTTTTGTCAATTATTACTATCTACCCTAATCTTACTTTTAAAGTCCAGTTAAGACTGTTGAAGAACCGACGGAGATTGAATTACTATTTACGCACTCATGTGGATTTAAAAGTCAGGAATGATTTATTTGTGTTCGTGGGCTCTCTCTCTCTCTCTCAAACAACACTCACTCCATCTTGATCTTGTAATAGATTGTTGAGGCCCCATCGATTGCATCTGTGTATGCAGAGCAGAGGGATATAGATATGAATTATAGAACTAGACAGCCAAGCCAAGTGCTGGGAGACATGGCTAGCTAGCTACACCATTCACTCTCATTCCCCAACTTAAAACACTACCTTATGACCATCGGAAAATAAGCAAATTCTTGTAGATAATATAATGGCAGCATTACTTCTAAACCGGCAGATCATGCTTTAAACACAAACCTAGGAGAGGAATGGTTTTGAGACCTTCCCAGCTGTGAGTGCCACGGTTCTTAGTCTGAAACATTTGCTCTACTTAATCCATACACATTGTCCACAACAATGCAAGTTGACTTTTGATCTAAATAAATAAAATCAAGCAAATTCTTGCAAGTTTTCAATACTTATAGCAACCGTCCTGTTATTCTTTTTTTTTTATATATAACAAAGAGAATTAACTGTGATTATCCATTTATTCCTTTAATAATTAATGATTCGAATTCTTATCCTGTTGATTACAGATAAAGCATTTCATCAATTAAATTGCGTTTCATTGTCAAAGCAACCTACTTTATTTGCAGCATCCCTCCCCAAAACAAGCTACGATAAATGCCATTAAATTTTTTTATGACCATCGTATTTATCAGGAAAGAAAAAATGAATATGCATGGCCCACAGCCCATCACTGTTCAACTGCTCTTTGCAATGTAATGTTTATCCCTTGTGGAGAGTTTCATAAACACGTCTCCTACGAAGTTAGGACCCAATCAATCTGGATCCAACGATTTCTTGTGTCATAAAATAATTATATCAATGCCCAGGAGAATATATTCACATGACTGGAGATTTTAAATATAGTCACCGGCCAATAATTCCCCAAAAAATATTTTGCAATTTGACTCCATCGATCTCATCCTTTTTACATCAAGATTTTTTTTTTTTACATACATACACAAAGATCAGGGTTTGAAGCAAAACAAACCGTCTGGATCTCCAGGAGGAAGAGTTAAAATATTATAGTAGAAAAATGCAAACCGAAAAAGAAAAAAAAAAAAGGGGAAAACCTCGATATACTATCGAACGCTTCTAAATCAGACCAAAAAATACAGAGAAAAAAAAAGGAAAAGATGGAAATAGACGAGTAATAATCAACCTAATCAGAAGAAATTTTATTCTGCGAGTTCAAGAAACCGTTGAAGTTGGTGGTGCACTCAAACAAGGCCTTAGCGTTCATTTCCCTTTCAAACCTCCAAATGTAATTCAACCCAACTAGCAGCTCCGTTATGGCCGCCTCGGTCTTCTCTTGATTCGCGAAATACAACGTTTGCAGCAGAAGAACATTTGTCTTGGGCGACAAATTTTGCTGTTCAAAGCTCCTTTCACTTTGCCACTTGATCATGTTATGTGCTAATGGTGACAGCCAACCCAATATCTTATGCAAAGCGTCCCTCCATTCTCCAGCGAGAAATGGATCGCTAGCCGAAAATCCTACCCCTTTCAGTCTTGCCCTCAACGACGAACGAATACTGATCGGCAGCAAGGAATATAAATCATCTCTGGCATCAATACCCACCAACTGGGGTGACCTAATCATCTTCTCTATGACAATGATCAAATTCGCGTAGTGTAAGGAAAGAGCAGCCGCGCCTAGTGTACTGGAAGGCGGTTTCATTGGCTTGGAGTTTACCTCAAAGAAGCCGTGATCAATGTCCGGATTAGTGGTGGCACCTTTTTGGTGGTGATCATCTTCCGATTTCGGGTTTTTCATCAATGGCCCGGATACAAAATTGCATGTGTTGGGATGTTCAGAAGGGTAGACAGTAGCGGAAGCTGAGAGACTCCGAGGTAGAGAAATTGGATGTCCGTGACTGGTATTAGCAATGCCAAAAACAAGCTTTATTCTAGCGAGAATGGTGAATATTGACTTTGCTAGCAATAATGTGGCCGTGTCGAAACTCCGACCCCATAAAGATCTTTCTTTCAGGTACTTGACTTCTTGCCTTTGCCAGAGAAGCTTCTGTTGCAGCTCAGTGATCTTTTGTTCTTTGAATGTAAGCGTGCCCAGGTCGCGCTCCTTGTTGGATTGCAGTAACTGAGATTTCCTCAAACTGTTCTCAACCACCAAAAGCTCGTCCATCTCCCGATGAAGCGTGGCCGTGATGGTAACGAAGTGATCCATTTTCTTGATCTTGGCTTCCATTTCCTTCCAGCTTAAAACCCAGTGATGAGGATCCCGCCCCGTGTTGGAGAACTCCTGGAGGCATCGATCGAAGGACCGGAGATTTGAGTCCTCACATTTCTTACTCAATCTTGAAACCGACTTTGCAACTAGCCTGAGATTTTCCACTATCTCTGCGCATGCTAGGCCTAGTAGAAAATCTTCGTCATTGGAGACGATCTTGCGAACTCCTTCTAGAGATATTGATTCGTTGCGAAGACGAGTGATGCTCTTGTCTGATAGAGATTGCCATAGATGGAGAAGCTTCGCCATAAAGCCAGCGATCTCAAATGCTAAAACCCCGACGCTTGATTTCTTGATCACTAGTGCAGGTTTTGCTGCAGCTTTTGGTACTGTGGCGCTACGAACTGTGTCGAAACTGCTCGAGATCGTCTTCTTTACCTTGACCAACCATGTTTCAAGAGCCATCATTAATTCCTTTGGATGAAAGGGATGTGATTAATCTTAATAACCGAATATGGGCTGTAGGTTTGATAGCAATAAATGATCAGCTGGGAAAGATGAAAGAGATGCTAGGTGACGAGATGAGGAGAGAAGGAAGAAATAATTGAAGAATGGAGACGCAGCAGAGATAAGGATAATATTTGGGAAGAAAGAGTTTCCAAGATGCAGTTTGAGGTCCGTTTGATACTGATGAGGGAGCATCACAAATATTTCAACTATATCAAATTTACAAGTTAGCAGCTGCAGTAGCAGTATTATACTTTATACTTAAAACATTAATCCTAATTAACAAATTAAATTCTCCTACTGCCAGTACCAGAGGGGAAGTGATTTTGTAAAATGCTAGTACTGTAGTAGAAAATGGGTATCATTCATGCCCACATGCAAAAGAGAGCGTGACGCATCATCTGGCCAATTGCATGACTTGTCGACTCTGATTTTGGATGCCACTTGTTCACTGTGCAGGTGAGATCCAGAAACAATTGTGATTAGTACTCCATAAGGGAAGTAACTATCTTCATTAATCGATTTGTTGTCCTCTAATTCATCTACTCGATAAATTAATGATGCTATTTGCAAATTAAGTTGACACATGAAAACGATAGCAACAGTGCTATGCATGGTTCCTTTAGGATGCACATAAATTAATGCCTTTCCTCTAAAACCGTCGAATTGAATATTTGAATTATACCCGCAGAGCTCTAGCCTTAATTTTTTACCTTTCGATCCTTTGGTCAAACAATTTTGGAGCCGCAAAGAATGCATGGAATGGAATAATTAGATGAGGCATTTAAGTTACAAACAGAATAAGAAAAGAAAAATTAGCAAAAAAAAAAAAAATGTTTGACAAATTAAAGAGAGCACATGAAAAATACTCGTCAAATTGTCTTTTCATGATTCTTTTAATCAGTCAAATTAACTTATCCCAAATGCTTATCATTAATGTGCTATGGTCTATCATGTACCATTTTGCTAACCGCCAGCCTAATGGCTGATGGCCACCACCAATGCATTAAAGCTTGGTGGGGTGGGAGACAGGGTTCAAATCTTGTCTCTCACCAATTTGCCACATTAAAGTGGCTCTGCTTAAAAATTCAGACTGGTACGTAGTGCATCCGTTTGATCCGATGGTGATTCAATCCCCTCCGAATTACTCCTGGATCTCTTCAGTTCCTCCCTCTCCCCCCTAGTGCAGGATGATCTATCGTAGCGACAAAAAAAAAAAAAAAAGTAACCATTTTGCTGTTCACTTCTCCGTTTTTAATTTTTCGAAGGATGAAATTTCACCCTAAGTAGCTAGGTATATTATTTTCCTATGCACTTGCGCCCGCAATGATAAACTGTTTCTTCATAGAATAGAGCTCCAGTCAGCAATAAAAGGTAAAACAAACAACATGCACGCCCCCCCCATTGGTCATCATGGTATACTACTCCTCCTTGCAGCGACTTTTTTATTTATTTATTTATTATTATTATTATTGATTTGCAATCTGAGACTGGAGAGTGCTACACAAATTGTACGTAACAGGACTCAGACATTTTGATAGTTGTGGGAAGTGATGAATGATCTTGTTGACCCTGAACTAGTCAGGCGAGGGGGAAGAGGGGACGATCAATTTCATGCGGGAGGACTCGGCCTTCTCGCTTGCAGCATGCGTATGTGGTTTGACCAAATTAATTAAAGCTGGCCATTTTGCATGCGATCTGATCTAATATAACAACAACAACTGGTGTTATGTAAATGGTGGATTCAAAGACAACGGAAATCTATTATATTCACGTAGATTTTAGACCAGAACATGAAGAAGTTTATGCGGACAGTGCATATTATATGTAAACCCTCATGATTCACTACGTACACAGGTTCACATGGTATTCTATCCAAGTGGGCTTCTCCCATTGTGAAATCTTCTACTTCTTGATCATATGCAACTGCATTTACTTCTTCATATATATAGTTGATTGCGTTTAAAATTAATCAAGTGTTTCTACTTTCTAGTACTAGTTAATTGGTGTTACATTCTCTATCATGAGTGCCTTATTGCTTCTTTCAAAAACACAAATTCCTCTTAGGAGCTGGTTAATAAAGCATTCTTTTTCTTTTCTGGGCATATATATTAATTATGTGGGTGTTAATTTGTTCATGTTCCCCCTCCCTGCAGTGTAGTTTTAGGAGAGTATGAGAATTGATGTTTCCAATTAGAGTAAAGACACTGGTGATAGTGGAATATATGAACGGAGGACAGGAGTAGGAGGCCAAGGAGGGAGGACCTAATCATCAACAAGAAAGTTTATATATAATTTCTACTAACTAGTGGCTTTTTGCCTGCCGTTTCGAGGGCATCAAGCAAGATCCGCGTTCCCATTGTCGGCAAATGTAAGGGCACCCAGATTTCTTTCTTGATACAAGCGAGTGGGAGACCCCTCTCTCTCTCTTCTTTCTCATCAGAGAGATACAATAAGCCATCTATCACACACTCTGATGGTAATGTGAGAAAAGAGAAAAAAAAAGTGCAAAACTGGAAAAGCACTTGGGCACACTTCAAATGCTTTGCCCTTCTGCTTTTAGGGATGTTTATTAGCAGTAACAATTACCTACTAATAAAAGAGAGTGCATATGTTCAGAAAGGAAGAAAAATAGCAGTGCTAAGTAGAATCACGAAGGCAGGTGGACGTAGGCTTAATCAGTTAATCAATAGAAACCCCGAAATCCGAATTATACAGGCTCGTGTGCTTGTTAATCCATTGGGATTTGCAGTGACGATGGTAGGGGAGTATCAAGAGAGCCGACATTGCCCCTGTCTGCATCAAATTTCAAAGCGGAGTTCTTACAAAGAATGATTGGAAATGAAGCCTCCTTCGCCGTGTTATCTTTTCTTTGTATTAGTTGTTTGCTTGCTTTGAACGTATAAACAAGAGATGCAGCAAGGGATTTGTCTTTCTTGCCTATCTTATTAAGTTAATCTTTTGAACCTCAGCTCGAAATTGAATTGTCAAATGGCCATTGGTTGATTACCGTCCTTGATCTGTTTAATTAATCTACTGATTTGGTTAAAACTGCGAAATTTCTCGTTCATCCAAACGGTTGATATTGTTCACAGTGGTTCACTCAAAACATATCAATGCACGTCTGATGCAGATTAGACAGAAGGATAAAACGTTAAGAGAGAGGTCCCATATATAGTTATTATATATTCATAATCAAATTTATGCATTGGAAGACAAATGAATATTGTCATCAACCATAAGCATATCATTTGGTGAGCTTCTCTCAAGGTTTCTTGGATGCTAAGATTGCACGCTAACATAATATTCCGTTATTGGATCCATGTAACCACAAATCAAATTAAAGACTCCTTTGCCCATTTAATCATTTGTTTCCTGTCTTTAAATCGCCATTAAGTATCGGCTACTTTTCTTCTGATCGTTTACTCGAATCTAAGTTATATACAAATGAGAGGTCAAAGTAACGCATCACCCAATTTTCTTTCTTTCTTTGTGAGGAGACAGTGAAAAGATGATCTTGAAATCACTAGTTCAACTATTAGACCATTCTCATTCTCCTACTTTTTTTTACAGCGTATCATTTAGTTTACATGTGTGCACATTCTACCATCATTCATATTTTACCTATAGGCGTGACTGCCTTGTCCGTGGAGCTGGAGCATGTAATGATGTGTCTTAAAAGCTAATCGTAGCATTCAATCCAGTCAAACAGAAGTAGCGAAAATTATCAGAGTTCTGTTTCATTGGGGAAAAAAAAAGTTTAAGAATCATGACTAAAATATTTTGGAACGCAATCCATTGCAATGCAACAAGGTCACACTAACTAAATTTATTAAATAGTGATGAGGGGAAACATCTAGAGAAAACCCATCAAAGAGTCCAATATATAAGTTAGGAACCCAACTATGACCCAAAAATTTAAGTCATTAGGTACTGGACCCTTACTTACGTATTAACCGCTCTTTCTCCATTTTTCGGACCAATGTGAGACATAATTCTTTACTCATGAATCTAACAAATCTCCCCTTCATGAGTAACCCCTCACATTAAACCCAAATTTACGCCCTTTTTCGATCTCACTTTAATACTCAACGCAAGTCCACGTTATCACCTAAAGTCACCTCTTTTCTCAAATATGGATCCACTTTTTTTCAACATCCAAACTGCATTTTGGACCCCTGCCAACCTTTGGCTCCTTCATCCAACACCAATCGGACCCCCTGTCAAACCCATAGCACACCTGGTCCAACACCAACCAAACTTCTTGTCACTTCGGTCCATCATCAAGGAGAGAATTTTCACCGGTCCAACTCCGAGAAGAATCCACTTACCCATGAGTAGCCCAGTCTTCCAATCTGAAGTTCTGATACCAATTTGATATGGGAAAATACCTCGAAAAAGTCCATCAAAGAGTCCAATATGTAAGTCAGGAACCCAACTCTGATCCAAAAGTTTAAACCATTAGGCTAAGACCCTTACTTACATATTAACCGTTAGGCTCTATCTCTATTTCTCGGACCAATATAGTACATAACCCTTTACTCATAAATCTAACAAATAGGATATGTGACATGTAATGAAACTGAAAGAGAAGGTCGTCTTCATTTCAAAGATTTTTAACTTTTAAGGGAGGTCTAACAAAGTAAAACAAACCCTGGGACTGGTTAGTATAATTTGGTGAAACTTTTAACCTAATGTAAATGACGTTAATCGCTTAGTGTCTTTTTTTTTTAACACTGCAACTGCTAACCTCCTCTTATATTAAGGGATGGGGAGGAATCAAAGGGGAACGTTAATCGCTTAGTAAGTTTGTGCGAGAATGGAGAAATAAGTGATGTGACATCACCACTACCGATTTGGTAAGAAAATTATGGATGAAATGAAAGTTAATGTGATATCTCTGTTTAAACATTTGGCAAGAGAAATGATTCCACAGTGAAAGGACCACTAACACATTT